CAACAATATGTTGTTGATAGAATTATGTATAATATGTCTTAAATTATAGTGAAATATTTAATTTATCGTAATGTGATGATTCAAACACGTCTTTGACATAGCTGAATGATTCTTTCAATCCAATAATACTCGTGACTTATTTGATAACCTAATTAAGTTAAAGTCAAGTATTACTTATTATTGGAACTCATCAATTTGAGATGTTCATGATCTTTCATTTAATGGTGATTATGATGATGATAACAGATAATAAACTGATGGTAGGTAGGAATTCGACTAATACTCTGATTTAACGCACGAAAGTTTAATACATTAATTATTAGGAGTTAGAACTCGTCTAATCATATTCATTTGCTAATTAATTGCATTAATAACTGTAAGTTGATGTCGAAATTCCAAACCTTTCCATGCTTAAGTTAAATTAAACAGTGTCTTAACAAAGACGTGTGATTATTATATATTATTTTTAAAAGTTTTATTTAATGAAATGCTATATGCAATGAGTCTCACCAGTTTTGCCTACCCACAGTATTAATTCTAATTCAGAATTAATTTTAGTATCTGTTTTTTTATAAATACTCCATCTATCTCAAATTATCTATCGTGATTTCTAAAAGTAATTGTCTTAAATTATTTGTCATTTTAGAAGTTCAAGAAAAAAGTAATTATTTGTCCCCATTTTACCCTTAATGGTAATTATTCTTAAAAATGAAAATGCCACATAAAATAGAGTAAATATTCAATGAATAAAGATTATATTTTAAGATATAAATAAAGGTAATATAGTCAAAACCCTCACTAATTCATGTTTTTTCAAGGCATGTGTAAAGTAGAAACACGACCAATTGTACTTGTACAACTGTTGTTTCATTAAGATTAATTAAATACATATTAGGGCTATATATTATTGTGGACCATCAGTTCGTCCAACTAAACTAGCCACATACAATGAAGCTGCAATTCATTCATTTCCACCCTAATTAAGTAGTGCTTCAATTAATTGAGGATAAGGATAGAAAATGATGGTATGTGACTATTAATTACGTATCGAACTTTGTGGTTTACATGGGCTATAGATCTTTTGAATAAATCACCAGAAAATAGTCCAAAGTCCACTTCACGTGCCTTTGAATATTGTTGCTGATTTTCTAAGTCTTGTTGCCAACTTTATTAACTTGTCATATGCTACCATGAGAAACAGCCCCCAATTTGGGGCCTTGATTTGGACTGCCTACAACAAATTAAAAATTACAAAAATAAAATGAAATAAAACAAAATAAAACTAAAAGAGACTTGTATCTTTTGAAGGACTAAATGTCTAAATCCGTCTTGATAGACAGTACTAGGGCGGAGCTAGGCGAGCGAAAGGGGTTCGAACCAGAGACGTATGCAGTAGGTTGCCGACGGGTTCAACTGAATTCATAATTTTCGACACAGGAGTAAAAATTTATATGTAAATTCATTAAAATTGTACAAAAAGTATATATAAACTCATAACTTTAAAAATATAATGGGTTCAACGCTAAAAATTTTAAAACTTCAACCCATAGGATTTAAATCCTTGATCCGCGCCTCTGGTTCGAACCCACTTCGTCGATAATAACACTGTATATATAAGGTTAATTCTTTTACTATATATATATTAGATGTTGAATCCCCTTAGCTTTTTTGTGTCTTTACTTTTTTTATTTTTTCGAATTCTCTCGGTGAAAAAAATCTTGTTTCCGCCACTGAACTGGACTGTACAAGATTTTTTTACGATGAGAATATGACCACACGACAGAACATGCAAAGAGTAGAAAAATAACGTTTGTACTTATCTTAAGAGCCAAATGAATAACTGGACAATGTAGAAAACAAAGCCGAAGGAAGTATTGTTTGTTTACTCTACCCTTTTTAAAATTTTCTTTTGTGAATTAAAGGTAAAACAAATGTTGATGTGAGGTCCTCAATCTTTATTTTTGTTGGTTACACTATATATTAAGTCTACGAGTCAAAGTCAGATGATGTACAAAAATCCAATTTGGTTAGGACAAGTAATGCAGAAGTCCATACTGTTGACTGCTGTGTGCTGTATATCCCTTAATTGCTCACCCACACTACACTTTTTGGGATTAGTCTATTGCCATGCTCTAAGGATTCTTTGACTTTGTTATTCATGTGCCTTTTAACACCTTATTTATTTAAAATAAATATCATTGTAAAAAAATTATATTATATAGATATCTTTTAATGTTTATAGCAAAATATCTAATTTTGGTTACCTCCTACCCCTAAGCCACTAAATGTGCTATTGAGTTACACTATTTTCTATCTCTCTCTACTTTGATACATGTTATTCTCTTCCTCCATTCCCTGAAAACACGAGTTACTGTTAGAGCCAGATTCCTTTGAAGGACATCAAATCTTGTCAAGTACGACTGGAATGTGAGGCCTGCTACTTGAGGCTCAATCTCATGGTTTCCTTCAATAACCACCATCGAAACTCTTGAGATCAGCGGCTCCATAAACCTGCAACTCCAGTTTATCCAGTTCAAATTTCTCTCTTTGCTTCAATTAGTAATGCACCACAAAGAATCATATTCAGATTAGCTTGTTTCAAATCCAGCGACTTCCAATTTTTCACTTTATTTTCCATTTTCTATCTCATAGGAATATATAATAGGCTCTATAGCAGTTCGTCGTTCCACGATGGTATCAATTTGATGAGCACTCATGTATTTCGTTGTATTCATTGTCTTTTTTTTCTATTGTAATTAAATGTATTTCGATGTATTCCATGTATTTCATTGTATTCACTATCTTTTTTTTCATTGTATTTCAATGTATCCCGTTGTATTCTATGTATTTTATTGTATTCACTATCTCACTATATGCCATGAATATATTCATATGTTTTTTTAATTAATATAATTTATGTATTCATATGTATTATATAATTTCTCTGGAGATTGCTATGTTTTTGGGGTATTTTTCGGTTGAGAATCTTTTTTATAACTGGAAATACAAAATTTGTGTGTTATAATTAAGTTTGTTGAGTTATATTAGGAGTCTATTATGTTAATTGATTCACTTTCCGTTTAAAAATAGTGCAATCCCCTGTTTCACACCGTGAATACAATCGAATACAATAATCTGTCCAGCTGTAATCCCATGTTTCACTCCATGAATACAGTCAAATACACTCGAATACAACAACTGATTAGATGGACATGATTCACGCCTATTTTTACTACTGTATTCATGAATACAATAGCTTAAATACATCTAATACATCTTATAACAACAGAAAACGTATCTACAATCCGTAATATAACAAATGGTATCTATAGATAGTTAATTACCACTAAAAGATAGTGTTTTATGAAAATTTCTTCATGCAAAGCCCATTTCACTTTAAAAGGCTCGCCAACTGGGCCAAAAAATTATGGTAAATATCAGGGTTGCACAGATAGCCATTTTTGGGGATGCTATTTAGAGATTAGCCAATATTTATTTTGTCTTGAAATTTTAAACTCAAAATCTTAACTTTAGGACAGTTCAGAATAATTTTGTCCCGAAAAATAATGCTGAAAACTAAAATTCAGGACACACTGTCTAATTCTTATTTAGCAGCCATTTGGAGTGACTATCTGGTGGCAATTCTACTAATATATCATGTAGATTGTACAAATATCCACTTTTTAGTCTATGTAATCGAGAAATAGCCATTGTCTCCACGATAATGTTGCATATTTTTCAATTATAGGACCGTGAAGTTACTAGTTGACACTATTTTATTAAATATGCCCAAAAACTGTGCTAATGAAAAAAAATTACAAAAATATGACACCGTAAGAGATGATCTTGAATTTGTATCCCCCACTTGTCCTATAGACAAACCTTCAAGATCTAAAGTCAAAATTTTTGCCTATTTTTTAAACTTGAAGTTTTGCCCATGAGGCAACTGGGGTTAAAATTTTAAGGCAATCCATTTCCAAGGCTATTCTTGTAAATTAACGGTGCTTATCAGGATCTTAGACTTTGAATCCCAATAAAAGGCTCGCCAACTGGGCCGAAAAATCATGGTAATATCAGGGTTGCACAGATAGCTATTTTTAGAGATGCTATTTAGAGATTAGTCAATATTTATTTTATCCTGAAATTTTAAACTCAAAATCATAACTTCAGGACAGTTCAGACTTCAGAATAATTTTGTCCCGAAAAATTAAGCTAAAAAACTAAAATTCAGGACGCACTGTCTAATTCTTATTTAGCAGCTATTTGGAGTGGCTACCTGGTGGCGATTCTACTAATATATCAGGTAGATTGTACAAATATCCACTTTTTAGTCTATGTAATTGAGAAATAGCCATAGTCTCCACGATAATGTTGCATATTTTTCAATTATAGGACAGTAAAGTTACTAGTTGACACTATTTCTATTAAATATGCCCAAAAACTGTGCTAATCGAAAAAAATTGTAGAAATATTACACCGTAAGATGATCTTGAATTTTTATCCCCCACTTGTCCTATAGACAAACCTTCAAGATCTAAAGTCATTTTGCCCATTTTTTAAACTTGAAGGTTTGCCCATGAGGCATCTAGGGTTAAATTTTTAAGGCAATCCACTTTAAAAGCTATTCTTGTAAATTATCCGTGCTTATCAGGATCTTAGACTTTGAAGCGCAATAATAACACTCTATTTCGATAAAATAGCACGGGCCAGCATAAGTTCGAGCATAATATACTAGAGAATGGACCATTTGTATATGAACTTCCAGTATATTATACTGGACCGATATATTATACTGAAACTCTAGTATATTATGCTGGAGTATTTTCCGGATTTTGAACAATATAATCATTCAGATTTATCTTTACATGAAAAATGGATAAATTTCGATTACTTTTGAAACTATGGCTATTTTTGAATGATCATTTGTAAATCTGACTATTTTTGAATTTCTCCCCTCTATTTCTAGTACAATTACAATAGAAGAGAAAAGGGCCCAAAACGCTAATAGATTACAGAAGGCCCAATATCAGACGGGAGTCCGATAATTTTGCGAACCTCAACGGAGATTAACATTTTCAGATGAATCGTTTTCCCGATAAGAATTCACCGGAAAATGAAACCCTTAGTTGCATCCAATCGGTGAGAATGTTTTTACAAAATCTTTATTTGGTCACTTTCAATTACTGTTCAACATATTTTTGGTTCGTAATTCGTACTTCAACTGTGCTCAAGTTAGGGTTCCTGCAAAGAGGGGCAAGCTAGAAACTTAATAGTAGAGCCAGTAGTGATTGGGGGAATGGTGTTGGATGTAAATGCCACATCTTCCATGCCTGCTAATCCAGGGACCTCTACTCCTGGAAAGGTATCAACTTTTTGACTTAATGCTTTTTTCTGGATCATAAATATATTAATGACTAACAATTTACTGCTTTAGTATATAAGTGTAATGCTTGATGATCAGAAATTGTAAAAATTCTTTCATATAATAGAAAAAAGAGGTCATAATTCATTCTAACAAAAAAAAAAGAGAGAGAAAGAGAGATCATAAAGAACACAATGGACAAAACAAATGAAAGACAATTACTTCATATATACTCATATGAGGCAAAAGGAAAGGTTTCTTATTTCTTTTATTGCAAATCAATCATGCGTAAAATAGTCCCTAATTTGTGTCTTTGTGATAGAGTTACATAATGACCATCATATTATCATGAGTTTATTACTTGAAATCTCTCCCTCTATCTTAGAGAAACTAAACTAGCCATCCTTTGGTTTCGATGAACTATAGAGGAATTAATATCTCAAATATGAATGAAAGAAAATGAAGTAGTCAAAGCCTTGGTGGACAAAGTTACCACAGTACATGTGCTGGTGGGAGGTAGCAAGTACCCATAGAATTAGTTGAGGTGCACACAATCTGGCGTGGACACCACGATTATCAAAAGGAAAAAGAGAATGGAGCACATGGGAAACACTCATGAGAGATTTTGTACAACTGTTGTGCCATTGCTTCTTGCTTTAGAAAGATTGTTTGTTAGCTAGGCCGTTTTCAATAAGGCTCACGCTTGGCACTGCTGCACAGAGTATTTAAATTCAAACAGAAGTCCAATCTGTAAAAATAGGTTTACAACTAGTCTTCTTTACCAGCCTCTCTGCAACATGCAAAAAGGTTCATATTTTATTGTGCGACTCTGCTATTCAGGTTATCTTTTCATTGGGTGGTGTGGCAAGGAATGTTGCTGATTGCATCTCAAAGCTTGAAGCAAGACCATTCATGATAAGCGCCGTTGGATTTGACATGGCAGGTGAGTTCTCTATATGGTTAGAGCTGTTCTGCTGCAACTCTTCCCACATTTTATTGAGTAGGTCTTTATTGGTAATAACTGATAAGTTCTTAACAACATGATGCTTACACACTTTTGTCATTCCTCACAAATTGGATTTGTGGTCTACTTTCAGAAGGGTTTTATCCATGTCATCTTTACCAAGAAACCTCAACATTTAGCATGAATAATATAAGCAAGTTATGTCCTCCCCCATCTTATGACTTGAAGTATCCTGTCAATTGAAAGCAAAGGCTGCAAAAGCAAATTAATTTGAATTTCCACCTTCTGAATGTTACAGGCAAATCTATTGCTATTACCTTATTTATATCATCTTCATTCGAGTGCAGTTTTACAGGCATATATGTGGATTAAATGATATAACTTGACATTGCTACTTTAACAATAGGATAGCATCATGTTTTCAGATAGTCTATAAAGAAAGTTTATTTCTAGTTTTTTATCTTTTGGCAATATTATTGTTGAATTTTCCAATTCTCCTGTGAGTACAAGCTTTTCTATCTCATTTTTCTAGAACAGCAAACAATTTAGTTGAGGAGTTTCATCCTCTTTTTATAGGAAATTTGCTACTGGGACATTGGGAATCTGCTGGATTATCCACAGAAGGTAACCTTTTTAACCTTTTACCTCTTTTTCCTCCCCATACCACATTCCCGAGTGCTTGGGAAATAATTTTGCCCACTCTGGACTGGAGCGATGTTTTCTGCATACCATGTAAATAAACAACTAGTCATGTCTTGAAATTGGAGTCTCCTAATGTTGAAAAGATCATCTGCAGAATCTGATCATTCATCCTGATTAGGTATTCAGAGAAATCGCAATATTGAGACTGCTGTTGTTTGCTATATCTTTGATGAGAAAGGTGAAGTGGCAGCTGGCGTAGCTAGGGTAGAATCAATTGTGAGTTGATTTCGAAAGATCAAGCAGTTAAAAGGTAATACTCGCTGTTACCTACTATTGATGTGCGTTTAATGCCTCCAAAACAGGAAAAGTTTCTCACACCAAGGTGGATTGAAAAGTTCAAGTGCAAAATAAGTTCTGCTCCAATATTGATGGTGGATGCAAATTTGACTTCTTCTTCTCTTGAAGCATCTTGTCAAAGTAAATACCTTCCTCTATACATGTGACACAATTTGCATTTCTTTGTTTGGGAGATGCTAAGTTTTTCATTGTATATACGACTATCCATCAAGTCGTGATATGCATAGCAAAACTTAGTGCTTCTCAAGGTATCACATATATGCTCTTCATTGACCAAAAAGAACATATCACACATATGGATAAAGTGGATGCACACGCTTAAGTTGCTTCTTCGAAAATACTCTTGAAGCTTAAAACTGCAAAGCATATTTTCTTCTGCTCGAGCAATCTATCTCTCTACTACCGATCCATTAATGGTTCCCAAGGAATGTATCTATAGTAAAAAATGTACTTAAAGTTACTTCTGGCTGAGTTCCGTACGTGTGTTTAATGTCTATAGGAACTTTGGCCTAAATAAGCGCTGGATTATATATGAAGTTTATCTATATTAGAAAGAAAATTTTGCATAATATTGTTATGATTAATTTGCAAACTTCTTAACTAATCCATTAAAACTTTTACTGGATGTTCATCTGCTCTGAGTATTTGGAGTCTTGTCTTGAATGGTCATCTTCCTCAGTGAGAGTATCTATTGGATAGGTGCAACCAATCCATTCTAACTAGAAAGAACGAAGACCTGCTTACTGCTTGCAGGCTAATATCGCTTGTTTGTAAATGGCATAAGATACTCAGTGTCGCTGTTGTCTTTATCTGCTACTTTTGTAACATGCGTAGATACTTATGAACCATTTCAAATATGTTCCTCTCAGTGGCTGCTCAGTTTAATACTCCAGTCTGGTTTGAGCCTGTATCAGTCGCCAAATCTAGAAGAGTTGCTTCAGTTGTCCAGTATGTGAGTTCTTCAGATCTTGTGTATATGCCTTTTCATCTGGATTTTGAATTTCAGACTTAACAAGAGGAAAGTTTACTGCATCTTTTTATTATTAAAAGTCTGTTTAGAAGAACTAGCTCTGCTGGTATATGAAATTAAATCCTAAACCCTTCAGCTGTACTTTCAGATTTCTACCTTCTGAATGTGTAGATCCATCTGGAGTGTGTTTTCTCAAACAACATGTGTAGACATTTCTGTTAGACCAAAATCTGGATCTTTGTGGATGCTTACATTGGACTTGAGCACAGCAATTTTGAATTTGTTGGAACAAGAATTAGTCATATAGAGGTGATTTCTTTTACATTCTAGAGGCAAAAAACTCTGGAGAAAACTTATTATACTCATGTTCTATTGAAGAATTTGCTAAAATATTCTTTATCATGCTGAATATTAGAACATGAAGCTTCAAACATAAAGGCGACTCATAGCGATTTGGCGTAAAACACTTTTAGCAGAAAATGATGATGTTGAATTGTTCTAGCATTGGGAAGTTCCATGAGTCAGGAAGAGTCTTTTTGAATTTAATTACTATAATATCATTGTTATAGCAACTAAATAATAAGGTTCTTGCAGATAAGTTTTGCATCACCTAATGAAGATGAACTTATTGCCATGGCAAATGCCATATCTGGCAGAGACATATTTCATCCAATTCGGAAAGATCATGGTACTATAAAGCTGTCCACGGAATGTTTGTTCCAAATGCTTAAACCTGCAATATGGCTTTTGCTAGACAAAGGTGTTAAGGTAGTTGTTGTAACGCTTGGATCACATGGGGTATTCTTATGCTCCAATGCAAAGTCCAATCTTGAGAAACTTGCTTTCAAGGAAAACCAACCTCCTCACTTCAGTAAACAGTTATATGAAGTTGTTAATACAGTTTGCCCAAGGAATCAGTTTTTTGGGGCTTCAAAGTGTGGGCCGATCTCAAATCTTGTTGCTGTCCATTTTCCTGCACTTTCTGCATCAGTAGTGAGGCTTACAGGTGCTGGAGATTGCTTAGTTGGTGGGACGATAGCTTCGTTGTGTGCTGGTTTGGATGTCATGCAAAGTGTAGCAGTTGGGATTGCAGCTGCTAAAGTTGCTGTTGAAGTAGAAAGCAATGTCCCTGCAGAGTATTGTTTGGCCAGACTAGCAGGTATAATTCACGTTATGGTTAGGCCTGTATGTGTGACATTATTCACATTCTCCATTGACCTTACATGCAAAAATACAACGCATATTTAAAGGATTGCAGTAAGCTTTATGCTCAGAAGGTCTATTTATGCTAATATTGGCTAACATCAGGTGTTCTTATCTTGCAGATGATGCAAGGTCTGTCTACTCTGGTGCCACGATGCTTCTGTGTCAGTCCAAGTTGTAGTTCACTGAAGTTTGTGAATTCCATTGTTGTAATCTTATCACATGTTGATGCTGTAATCTGAATGAAATAACAAATCTTTGGATTTGTGCCCTCATCTTTTTCTCCCCCTGGATTACTTTGAATTTACTCAATTAAAGCAGATCAAACATTCCAATGTTTCAAGAGCAGCGATGCTTATTTCAAAGAAAAGCCAATGTACAACTATTTTAATTCTTTACATTCCAGTTTCGTCCATTCTTCCAGGAAAAATCTTCTGTTTCTTTTTGTCATTTTCCTATTTATTCGCAACACTACTATTTCCACCCAAGTACAATGTTCAATGAAACATGATAGCAGTTTTCATCTATTTAAAGACTTTTATCTACCAATTGTCCCGGACTTTTACTTAGCATATTAATTCTACAATACCAATTCGCTGTTGAATAGTGAGGTGTGTGCAAGATGGTCTGGACATCACCATTTATTTGTTGGGTGGTTTGTGTTTGTGTGTGGGNAAATTAAAACCTTCTACAGATTGTAAGAATAGTTTCCCCAGTGTATTTGAAATTCTGTGAACACATCATTCATTTACAGGTGTTGTTTGTTTACTTTTCAATTGCAAGAGTGGGAGTGAATCAGAATCTCCATCATCATCATCATCATCCGAATAGCAATCTGGAGAAGAGTTGAACTCGCTCGATGATTCTGAACTAGTCTGGTACTGTTCTTCATCGTCATCTTCAAGAGATTGTGATTTCCCATCAGGGTTCATTGATTCAAGTTTTGAGATTTCATCCTTGCTATATTTTTGCTTCAATTCTTGCTGCTCCATTAAAAAATATTTACACAATCAATATAGTTTAACATATCATAGCATGTTAACTCAGGCTATCAATTAAGTTTCTTATAAAAATCTGTTCATAACTACCTTATAAGGAGTAAATGTTTTTATATAGTTAGTGTATAGAACTTAAAATCATAAATAAATGAATAGACAGCTGACCAGCAAGTTCTTGTTCTCTCTTTTAAGTCGCATGCAAGATTTTGCACTCTTCTTCAATACACAAGAGAATGTGCAAATTTCCTTCTTCAATTCTTGTATCTTTGCTATTAAAGCATCAACATTCTCCTGCAAGGGTGAAAACAATCGATAAGAAAACAATAACAAGTACTACAAAAGATATGAAAAACTAGTAATTATTTCTGTTTTTTTTCAAGAAAATGAACCAATGTGTCTAAAGTACAGATGATAAGAAAAAAGGAGTTGGGGTCAGATTTTTGAAGGAAATATGGTTAAATTTCAAAGAGAGTTGTGCTTTTGCAAATGTTGATAGAGTTTATGTTCTGTACACTGACAGTGTAATTTTTTATTTTTTTTGGAATATCGAGTTAAATTGACCTATAATATGAGTAATTCACATGAGCATGCACTTACACTTTGGTAAGCTTTTGAAATATCTTCAGCAGCTGATTGATCATCATTCTCACTGTTAAAAAATAAAAAGCCAATTCAGAATTAATTGAGAAAATGTGAGATATTACAAAGAGTGCATAACCAAGGAACTGAATGAATAAATTTAAAAAAAATTCCTATCTGTCTAAAACTGCACCTTTTTGAAGTCTCAGTATTTGCAGGACATGTATCTGTCTTAACACGTTCTGCATCTTCATGACTTCTCTCACTTTCATTCCTCAATTTCAACTTCAGAAATAATTCACTTTGTTCAGATTTTCCAGTTTTCACCGCTGCATCCTTAGAGAGCAAAAAAGGAAACGTTGATAGAGGTTCAAAAATCCTACATCGTGTTTAAGTTTTATGCACTGATGGTAATTTTTTTCTTTGCAGATTAATTCGCCGGCAAAGAAACAAAAAATACAAACTTTGCCAGGTTAATTTATGCGTGATCACTAAACTATACGGAATTATATCAGTAAAGTCACAAGACTAGTTCTGGTACCCGTTATATCAGTAAGCATATAAAATTTTACTACTTTTTACTGATACTCAACGGGTAAAGTTTAGTAACTTTAATAATGGATTTCATTGATACAATATGTAAATTTCAGTAATCACACGTGAAATTAACCTAACTATGCAAGGAAAATTTTTATAATCCCAACTTTGCCACTTGACCCTTGTTTAATGACCATAACAAACTTTTGGTTATATCATGTTCACTGCAATAATAAGATACTAAATTTAACAGATTATGGAAAAGAAACAACTAGAAGAAGAACATTAATTTTTCAAGGAAAAACACAACAGGAATGTAAAATATATTTTTTGAAATTGAAAAGTTAAAGAAACAAAGAAATATATAGCAGCTTTGTAAGAGTAAAAGGGCCGTGAGCTACCGGAATCTTGACGGCGATCATTGTTCAAAATCTCTGCGGAGCTGACCAGTATATATATATATATATATATNAATTAAAGAGCAGAAATTTAAAGGGCTGCATTATATATGGCGTCAAGGGAAGAAGAATTATGATGAAATCTGCGCGGCACAAGGAGTTCTTTTCCAACTCATATTCGATTTCAAATTTTAACCGTTAAATATAATTAGTTGTTTGATCAGTGTAGGATTCTTAAAAAAAAATAGAGTTGAAGGATTCTGATATAGGAGTACTATTTTTTAAGGAGTAAATCCCATTTAATCTCATAATCCTTTGGGATTTGGGAAACTATATTCCTTCCACCTATTGGTTGGAATATAAAAGTACTCCTTTAATCTTGAATTAACGGTCTAAATTAACCTGACATTGCTAGTATTTTCAAAAGGTCAAATATGACCTTCAATCACTGTGGAATATTTAAAGAAATTCAAAATGAAAACAAATTACCAATAGTATTGTAAGAATGTCATGAAGCTTTTCAAGGTTTTACCACAAAACTCATAAGCTAAAGTAAATTTTCAATACTAGTAGTAATCAAGAGCGTATGTATTGTATTAATGACGGGTTCAGTTGAACTCATAATTTTCGATACAAAGTAAAAAAAAATTATGTAAAAATTCATTAAAATTGTAAAAATAGTAGATATGAACCTATAATTTTAAAAATATAATGAGTTTAATGTTAAAAACCTTAAAAGATGAACTCATAAAGTTTAAAATTTTGGATCAGCATCTGACGATAATACAAGCAACTAAAGCATAAGGATCAAGATACATACATAATTTGAAAATTACAAATATAAACCCATGAAGCAACCAAGTCATTGAAGATTAAAAGAAAACTAAAAGACAAACGAGAGGAGTAAAATTCTAATTTATATACATCGGATTGACATTTTAAATCATTCAGGGAAGACCAATATCGTGACGGATGCTCTTAATAGAAAATTCACGGGTGACTTCGCTTATTTGGTAGCATATAAATGACCTTATAGTTTAATTAAATTGAAACTACGAATTGTAGATGATGATATTAGTGATGTGACAATAATTCATAAAAATAGGATCTTTTGATATTTTGATAGTTCCTCAAATGATCATCCCTTTGGCATTTATAAATCTTACTATATGATTAATAAACAGAGACATAATTTCGAGATTGAGTAGAATAAATTTGCCGTATTAGTTTAAAGCATAAAGTTTATGTTAAAGAGAAAAACCTTAAAAAAAACTAAGAATACTAATCCACCCTTTAGTAATTGACCGGTCATACGGACCAGTCCAAGATTCCACGCCTTGAGCTTTATTAATCTGGTCAGGACTCCGTACCTATGGACTAGGGTCAACACAAAAAGACAAAAATAGGAACAAACAAGAGCAAATTAAATTCCATTAATAGACAAAAAATTCCTATTTTTATTTATAGTAGTCCCTTTTTCTGTTCTTTTTTGAATTTGAGCATCTGATTGAGACGCAAAAATTAATACTTCCTCCGTTCATTTCAAGTGAACCTATTTGATTGATCACGAAATTTATTTATTTTTTTTTTTAAATTTGTGTATACAATAAGGGACATATACTTTGTGTCACAATAAAACATTGCATAAAAGTAACTATTTTCAAATATGAAAATGAATCATTCTTTTTATCATGAACCAAAATAAAATAGGTTAACATAAATTAAAACGGAGGGGTATTATCAAGTTAGTGGCCGAACTAAAAATTGCTACAGCTCTTTAATAGTGAAATGTTCTTCCTATTTACAACTTATTTATAATTTCGTAGAGAAAAATATTATTTATCCTTTGATTCATCCGTAGCTGTAGCGCTCAAATGACTAGGTAAGTGTTTCTGTGTTTGTGACAACATTTAATTAATAAATAACAACAATAACAATAACAATAATAATTACCCATTGTATTTTCATAAGTGAGATCTAGAAGGGTGAGATATACGCAATCTTACTCCTACCCTAAACTGGCGGAGAGGTTGTTTATTTAATTAATAAATATACTAATAAAATTATGACATGAGAATAAATATACGTAAATCACATTCCAACATTTCGTTTATCGTACCAACTACTAAACTACATGTATATGGATTGTAATGCGATACAATATATTATTTATTTGAAATTTGGTAAAAAAAATCCGATCCCTGGACTTAGATCTTTCACATTGTAATTAAGGGCGTTGAAGTTATTTGAGGGCTTTATACTGTACACTAAAAATACTCACTTAACTAATATATTACACTAGAACTACATAATGTAACGTTGCATGCGTAGATAAAAAAAGATTTACACCATCATGCACCTTAAAAAGCAGCAACAACAACAACAATAACAACATACCCAATAAAATTTCACTAGTGAGGTTCGGAGAAAGTAGAGTGTATGTAGACCTTACTCCTACCCCGAAAAGGGCAAAGAGACTTTTTCCAGGAGACTCTCGGCTCAACACGAGAGACAATAATATCAGAAAAGAAACAAGAGAAAAGACATGTAACAACAAAAGATACCAGAAAGAAAATAACCACAACAAATAAGTGAAAGGACAATAATTCAAAACTATACAAAACAACAATGTGAATACAACAAAGACCGCTAACAAACCTAAATGAAACTCTATCAGACTACCCGGTACAAAAAGGGAAGAACTCCCGACTATCCCCTAGCCTACCACCCTAATATTCGACCTCCATATGTTCCTATCAATAGTCATGTCCTCGGAAATCTGAAGTTGCGTCATGTCCTGCCTGATCACTTCGCCCCAATACTTCTTAGGCTGCCCTCTGCCTCTTCTCGTACCTGCCAAAGTCAACTGCTCACACCTCCTAACCGGTGCATCTAGGCTTTTCCTCCGCACGTGACCAAACCATCTAAGTCGCGCTTCCCGCATCTTGTCGTCCACGGGAGCCACTCCCACCCTCTCCCGAATATCTTCATTCTGAATCTTATCTAGCCTAGTGTGCCCACACATCCATCTCAACATCCTCATTTCTGCTACTTTCATCTTCTGGATATGTGGATTTTTGACTGGCCAATACTCAACTCCATACAAAACATGGTCGGTCTAACCACCGCTTTATAAAACTTACCTTTGAGTTTCGGTGGCACATTCTTGTCACACAGGACTCCAGACGCTAACCTCCATTTTATCTACCCCACTCCAATACGATGCGTAACATCCCCGCCGATCTCCCCATCTCCCTGGATAATTGACCCTAAAAATTTTCTTTCTTGAGGATGACATATGAGCCAAACCTGACTGCCACATCTGCTTCCCCGTCACGTCGCTGAACTTAGATGCACCTTAAAAAGCAAAGGCAAATAATTCTTTACGCAAACAGTAATTGATAGCCTTTAAAAAATGGATAAGAATTTTTACACTAAATTAAAATATACCGATAGTGTAAAAAAATCTTTAAACTATCGTCCATGTCATATTATGAATACAAAGCACTAAAAGGAGTAGGATACACATGCATCCAACAGTATTTACTACAACCTTTATTAATAAACAACGCCTAAAATTCTTGTTTTGTAGTTACAGAAAAGGACCAAAACTGTTCTTGTATAACTCGAAATAGAACAATTATGCCCTCCTTTTTAAAGTTGGTAGTAGTATTGCCCCTTCTCCACTTACGAATCATTTTTCTAGAATTTTTAAATCCCACAAATTATTATTTTTTAAATCCACCTGCACTTAAATAATATCCACCCCAAATTTCTTTTTCATACCCCACCACTTCACCNATAGTATCGAGTTATAAATGATCCAAATTAATATTTGTAAGCGTATCTCTAACAATATTTATGATTTTCTTAGACACATATTTAACAATCAAAGTATCCCAACAGAGTAGCTCAAGCATAAACACAACATTCAACTAAAAGGAATATCTTTAATGAACCATCGAACAACAACACAAGGCTTGAACACAAAACAAAAGTCGAAAAAACAAACCAAACTAACACTTATATTACATAGTATTATTTTCCCACCAACTAACGCTATCATTACATATCAATCTCCCTGAGGCAAAAAAAATACAACAAAGCAGCCCAATTTCACAAATATGAATATCCACATTGGGACCATTTTTTCTCAAATTAGCTATTTTTCAGTATCAATCACATCTTAAGACTCTAAATCAACCACTTTTGTCATCGAAAATATTTTTTTCCAATTTCTAAGCCTCTATTCCTCCACGATCAAATCATAATATTTTCAAGATCAACAACTTTCCTTTGGAAAGTATTCCTTTCACGAATAAGAGCTTCTTTTTTATTCTTTAAACTACATATGAGACTTGCAACTCTCATAGGAAAGTCTTCATCCTGCAATTTCTCATTAGCAACAAGTCCATAGTGGCACCTTCTATTATTTAGATATGCGCCTACATGTATTAATTTGATCATTTATACCCCTGTACTATATAATCATGAGCAAATTTGCCCTCATATATGTGAAACATGGGGTAAAGTAAAAGGGATGGGGGTGGGGGAGTGGTGGGGGTATGAAAAAGACTTGGGGGAATGGATATTTTTAAATGCCACGTGGATTTAAAAAATGAAAAATATAATTTTTGAGATTTAAAAATTCTCTGAAAACTGATTCGTTAGTGGCGAAGGGTAAAGATGATGCCAATTGGTCATGGCAGGGCAATATTACCACAAACTATAAACGGAGGATATAATTGTTCAATTTCGTATAGTACAAGGACTGGTTTGGCCCTTCTCGATTGTAATTATGATAATAATTGGTGATCGCTAAAAAGGAATTGTATTAAAAACTTTAAGTAATAAATAATATTCTAAATGTCAGCAATCTTTTGTGTTAAGCAAATTGATGTCTTTGTCATAATGGAGTTTCTAACTTTTTGTCAAAAGGTACAAAAAAATGATCATGAAAAGAATTTTATCGTAGTCTCACTTCTTGGACCTGTAAAATGGCAGGTCTTTGTATGAAAAATGAAAAAGAATTAAACTTTGGATCCTTTATAAATCAACCTTTCACTTACCTTTTCCTTTTTCACTGAAGGGTTTTGAACAAAACCACAACAGTCCCTTAGACTCTTTTACCTGTCTGATTCCCGCAGCTTTAGTATTTGTCAATCAGTCACTACAGGCTGGAACCGCAGAACAATGTGCATATTTCAAGCTCAAATTCTCCACTTTTTCCCCTGAATATGGCTATCCTTCAAGCTCCACTTTTTTTGCTGTGATGAGTGTCATTTCCAGAAAAGGTATTTGGGTTTATCTGTTTTTTATTTCTATTTTGTGGGGTTCTTGAATTCTCAAGGTATCTTCTTGTTTATTGCATTAATGTATATGGTGAGCTGTTTTTTTTTTTTTTTTTTT